ATTGCCCACACAAGGACTGGACACTGTTCTGGAAGTGTGTCTTTGGCATTGATGTCAACCTTCTTGTCACCCTCATTCTGTGCCTCCATCTGCTTGTTGTGCTCGGACACCTCCGCACTGACATCGCTTGCACTGAACCAAGCCTTGCCAAGGGTGAGGCATTTGAGCAAAGCTTCATTGTACAGCTTGCGTGTGGTCTGATCAGTGGCATTCCTGGGCGGTGGTGACTGCTTCTCCTTGGCCTGAGCAGTCTTCGCTTCCTCAATCTTGGTCTTGATTGAGGTTGACTTCAAAGCAAGCTGCTTGGACAAGGAGTCGAACATGGCTGCGCGCTGGCTTGCAATGTTCGAAGTCTTGCGCTTCTTGCCTGACGCAGTTGACTTCCGGGACTTGGCATCAACCTCACCTTCTTCTTCACTGGCATCCAGCTTGTCTGATGCCCCCTTCCGCTTCAAGGTTGGCTTGGTTGGAGTCGACTGAGTTGAGCTGACACGTTGGTCCGCAGGATCATCACCACCTGAGCCTGCTGGCTGGTCATGTCCGATCTCTTCAGGCTCTAGCACACCAGATTCATGGCCACCTCCGTTGAAGAAGGGGTGCGACAAATCAAACCCAACCTCCATTGCATGAGCACGGAATGCTTCCACTTCAGAAGCCTTCGGAGCCTTCTTGCCCTTGGAAGTTTCCGTGGACGAACCTTGTGCAAATTGTGTTGTCCCAGTCTCCTCATACTCACCGGCAGGCAACCACAATCTCAAGGCTCCTTTGTAACCATTGTTGTCACGCTTCCACGGACCTGCAATCTTGACCTTCCACTCATCTTGCATCTCCTTCTTGTCACGGCCATAGACGTTGACCTGCTCAATGACCCATTGAGTTTCCTCAAATGGTTTGGTGACCGCTGCCTCCTTCCTTTCCACAAGGACCCCGAACTTCTGCTCCCACTGAACAAAATCTATTAGAGGATTGTGCGCGAACATGGGAAGGGAGATGCTGAGCTTGGCCATGTACTCCACCTGAGTGTTGGCGAACTCGATGTCCTTGCATCGCTCAACCCATTTCTTGCAGGCCTCAGGTCCCTTGACCTTCAAGACCTGATTCCTACAGTTGTCAAGATGCCTATGGTGATGAGCACAGTGTCTCCGCCCTGCTTTGCAATCAAGATCACAATCATGATACGCACACAACTTCAATTTCTCGGCGCCTGCGCTGCTGGAAGCTTTGCTTTGTCCTTGCCGACCAGATCTGGAGCCTCGGGTGGATCCAGCACTTGAAAAGGCTGGCACATCATCTGGCACGCCGAAATCATCCTCGTCTGGTTTCTTCATGGCCCAACACAAGCCAAAGTCCTTCAAGGGCCTATGGCCGAAAGTGCAAGTGATACAAAACTAGCCTCGGGATCAAATGAGCAGAAACAACATGGTGCCAAATTCAAACGCAGTGCAGTTGCTGCTGCATGGACTCACACATGTACTCACGCACTTGCGACATCCACCCAAGACTCAAGACCATGGCAAGGCCACAAGCGCCCAGAAAATCAAATCAAGCACACCATCCCTGGCCATTGTCAATTACAAAGAGGAATCTGCTTTGCCTGGTTACCCCCCCTCTACACCTGTCACCAACCTCAGCCTGAACTTGCAAGGCTAAGTGGATGCGGACGCAGCGATGCTGCGCAGCTTCAGCATTCAAAATAACATATGCGTGCGATTGACACAGATGTTTTGCCACACCCTAACCACGCCAGAATTGCAGGACCTAAGTCACGCGGCAAGCCACATGTCTGTGCACCAAAATGGCTAACACGCAATGGGAGAGCTCTTGACAGTCCTGACCTACGCCTATGCACTAGTTGATGTTTCATTGCTCCTCACGGGTAAGAAAGGCTGTTTCCCGTAGTCAGAAGCTCCCCATGAATTTTCACAACATCATGAAACACATGTCGAAAGATCTACAACCTGATCCTAGGACGCTTCTTGCTTGAAGCCTCAGGCAAGCTCGATGCAGCAACTGCACAGTCTTCATTCGATTTGGCAGCTGTCGCATCTTCACCTTTCTCAGGATCGTCAAACTCATCCATCAGTTCTTCGAGCAAAGGAGTCAACATGCCAGAGCCTGGGTCCATATTCGGAATACGCTGAACGTTACTCATGGCGTACATCATCCATGCACTGAATGCCGGAACATGTATCGAGTTTCCAGCCATCTGTCTGAGCTCAGACTCATTGAAGTTTTGAAACACTGCGGCGAGGGGAGACACTTCCCTCCCACAAGCATCTGCAAACATGTTGATCCCCTGCGCAAGTAGAAGTTCTGAAGGAATCAACAATCGATCATGCTTGAAAGCAAAAATGGTTGGATGTGTATCCAATGCAGGAATCTGGTGGCCGCTTGCAGGCCCGGCATCAACATTGTGGTCTAGGTCAGCAAAAAAATTGCCAAGCAAATCTTCACGAAGTGCACGCACTTTGTCATACTCAGCCAAGCGGATCATAGCCCCGGGCGGAAGCAAGTGGGTCAAAGCCTCCCGCATGTTCATGGAGCCCTTTGCCAACGCAGGAGGCAAGGTGTTCCGTCTTCGCTTTGCACGCTCAACCATGAAAGACTGCACATCTTGCTCTGTAGCAACGACATACACGTCTCCTGAAATCACAGTGGGACACCCAAACCATTCCATGAAGTCTGCCTGCACTTCTTCTTGTGAATCCGGGCCAGTCCAAACCCATCTGTTCTGGTCAAAGCCAAAGGAGAAACAACGGCGCCTTCGCATGGGAAAACCCAAGTCTGTAGGGCAAGCGACCACATGCTTGACCACATGAGTCGACTTCAAGGCCTGGACTTGCTTTTGCTGAATGGGATAATGGCTGGAGTTCTCTGTGAAGAACCAATCTTCGAAACCATTTTCGGCGAGCCACTGTCTCTCTGTCTTCCAAACAGCATGCATGGGCTCAGTCAGCCCTGCCCCCTGAAGCCCTCGCCTTTTCCCAAGGGGTGTGTAGTCTGTGCAAACCAAACCAGACACATTGAAAACAATGGGCTCTGAACCTGGATTTGTCAAACCCATTTCATGGGACAGCGGCATCTTTTTCTGCCACCACGGGCATGTCGCGTTCTTCTTCACCTTTCGTGGAGGGCTCACGTTGCTTTGGCCTTCAACTTGGGCCCGGAATGCAGGCAACACATGCACTGGGCAGCATTGATTGTGCTGACAGCAATAGCTCTTGCTGCCAGGGCTAAACATGGCAGACCGGCTCTGCTCCAAAAACAACTCTACGTTTTCATTGGCTTGCTTTGCTTCTGTGACCTCCATGGTCTTGTCTGGGCCAGCTTCTCGAACCCAGGCACGATGCTCTTCAGGCAGCCTGTCCAGAACATTCTGAAAAACGCAAGCAGCACCGTCATCCATGTTCTCGCTTTGCAGCATGAGGCACTGTTGCTGAGGCTTGCTCCAGTCACATGACCGCACAACCTTGGCAGCAGCCAGGGGAACCTTCAACACGGATGTCAGGGCTGACATCATCACACGCATACATTCTCGCGGAGCATCATAGCCACTGAAATCTGTGGCCACCAATAGGCCCCTGCTAAGATTCTCCTTCAGCAGGCTGATCTTTCTTGAATTGGCAAGGATATTGGCATATCTGAAATCCCATTGCATGAGCTCTTGCAAGGTCTCAGGACCCTGTCGCTCCATGAAGCTGCTGTCACGTCGAAGCATCTTGAAAGCAACGCACAGACACAGTCAGCTGAACATGTAAACTTAACATGTGTTCAAAAGCATTGCCCACTGCACTGCATGCCACATATGGATTCACACACAACACAGACAAAAGTGCTGAGAGATTTTGCCATTGCCGCCCCAAAAGATAAGATAAGATCCACGCCGACATGACATGAAATCATGATCTTGCTGACAGCCCGGCGCAAAAGCATGCAGCTCAATCATCGCACAAGCTCAAATTTCCAAATCGTTCAATAAGGGGGGTGGCCCCTTTTGCTTGAAGGCATAAAAACAGAACATGGTCGTGAAGAAATCAAGCGCTGTGCAACCCCACCACGGCTCCTCCTTCCATGCTCCAGCTCCCTCCTGCCTTTGGTTAAAATCACTTCCAACGCTTTCCCCTGTTACACACTGTGGAAAGGCTATGTCATGGAATTCTGCCCAGATCCAGCACAATGCTTTGAAATCCGGTAAATCAAGCTAAATCAGGCTAAATCCACCTAAATCAGGCTAAATCAAGCTAAATCAAGCTAAATCAGCTTA